TGGCTCAGGTTTCCAACATCCACAAACGGCAATTGCTGTCACAACTTGAGATTGACGAGGTACAACGCAGGGTCCACGGTGAAGGGCCCCAGGTTGCCAGATCAGAGGAGGAGGTCATACCAGAGATTGGGAGGCAAGCCCCAATGAATGCAGATGATAAGAACGGGAGGCCAGCCCCAATGAATGAAATGTTGAGCGAGGCAGCAACTGACCTGAAAGCTAAGATCATGGCGAGAATGAAAGCTGGGCAACCTAGAAACCGATTACGACTATGTGAAGTACCACCTGAAAGTCTCATGGAAAGTGTGAATGCAGCACTGAGGGCGATCCCGACCGTAATGATCACGGAAACCAATGAGCTGATATACGCTTCAGCATCAGTGATCCTAGAGATGCTTGGCTGAAAGAGCAACCATGGGAGCCATGAGATACGTTACCCACTATGAAAAAGACCTCAGTGGGAGGTCATTCCAAAGAGAGGGACCAGCAACGGAAAAGGTTTTATCCCCTCTGAGCCTCCGCTTAGTTCTTGGTACCTCTATTAATGTCTGGTCCGCAGACCCGAGGCACCGGGCAGGTGCGTAGTGGTGGAGGAGCTCAGACAAGTAATGTGGAGGCCATTTAAAGATTTGAAAACAAATAATAGGATCTTAAAAAGAACTCTAAAATGTATAGGGAGCCAATGAAGGGATGCCAGAGTAGGAGTTATGTGCTCCCTTTTATGAGTACCAGTCAAGAGGCGAGCAGTAGCATTCGGGACAAACTGGAGACACTTAATGGAGGATTGGCTGACTCCAAAGGAATGTGCATTACAGTCATCCAGCTGGGATTTGACGAAGGCATGAATTACTGTTTCAAAATGGTCATGAGAAAGGAGAGGTCTTACTTTAGCCAACTGCCGAAGATGAAATTAGCTGGCTTTAACAACGGCACCAATTTGTCGGTCCAATTTAAAAACACTGTCCAGTTTATGACCCAAGTTTGAGACTGTTTGCTTTAGATCCAAATTCTACAGAATGGGATGTACAAGGGCCACTGGGACCAAACACCATCACTTCTGTCTTCTTTTCATTGAAATTCAAGAAATATAGTGCCATCCAGGTCTTGATTTCCTCCAGACAGGATAAAAGTGGCCTTAATGAAAAAGCGTCTTTTTTGCTCAGACATAGATATATCTGACAGTCATCCGCATAGCAGTGGAAGGAAATATCATGTTTCCTTCAGATGGCACCCAATGGGAGAAGATACAGTGAGAACAGCCAAGGCCCCAGAATTGAGCCTTGTGGAACACCACACAATAGCTGGTCAGTTCATGAGTCAGCATAGCGAAGGCTAACGCAACACAGCAAAAACATGCTGGTCTATGATGGGTTTTTTTTTCTTGTTTTTTGTTTTTTTTTTGTTTGTTTTTTACAAGGCAATATTTTTTTCACAGCTTAATACATCTTTGTGTTCTGTTAGCTAGACTTTTGCCAAAGTCACAAATCACAAGCACTTTGACTTGCAGTGCTTACACAACGCCAAAGAGCAATTGTGTTTTGGGAGTACTGACTATTTATATGAAGAATAAATTCAGTTTTGACAAATAGATAAACTGTTTTGGCAGACATATGACCTTTTGCAGGTAATCGATGTGTTGTGCTGAACCCTCCAGGTCATTTGAACCATCCACATTATTTACGGTGGATCCTTGTGATATTGGTGGTACTGACTCTTTCAAATCCAGTTTGAAGCTTTTGTCAATAGTTTTGGGAGATATATGAGGTTTTGCAAATGAACTGTATTGTTGCCCAGAACTGTAAGACTGTTTGGCCAAATGGCTTATTCTTCTTCTTCTTCTTCTCCTTTCGGCACGTCCCTTTTCAGGGGTCGCCACAGCGAGTCACTAATTCCCATCCGTCCCTGCAAACCGCCCTAACAACTCGCATGTCCGTCTTGGCAAAAGTTCTACGCCGGATGCCCTTCCTGACGCAACCCTCCCCATTTCTCCGGGCTTGGGACCGGCACCGGGGAACAGTGTACCCCCAGGGGAGGGCACTGCTCCCCAGCGGCTGGGTTGGCCAAATGGCTTATTAGTTTTATAAATTTAATCTCTGTTTCAGGAAATGAGCCAAACCATTGGAGAAAACCTGTGTGAGAGGTATCAACAATTTTCCATATCAGAACATTTCATGCTTCTACTGTATATTAGTGCAGTGAATGTTTTTGCTCCAACAAACAAATGAAGAGAATTGTTAAGAATGTTTTTCTCAAACAAGTCTTGCCATACATAAGTCGTGTGTTTTGACACTCAATCAATGAGGCTTTATTGACATTTGAGGTGAAAGGTTGTTTTTTTATTTTTTTTTTCTGACAGTTGACAGGGCACTTGTGTAGTGGGCCTGCAATGTTGACCTTGCGTATTGTACATAGGGGTGAAGGAATGTAGTTTCGAAGGCGTTGATTGATGTTTGTGAATAAGAGAACGCCTGACACAATGGATGGATGTTGGGTGTGTGTACGGCAAGGGTGTGGCTGAGGAGGGGGAGGAGGAGGAGGATGGGGGAGAGTGACGATATGCGTTCATGTGCAGTATACTTCACGTACATATAGATTCGCTCAAACAAAATGAAGTATGTTTTTATGTCTCCACTACAGCAAAAATAGTCCCCACATTCAACATTACTAACGGCAAGTATTTTTTTTTTTTTAATTTCGTTTGGGTGGGGTGGGCGTAAAATCCAATGAGCATGTTAAACGTCATCACATTACATTACATTATGCCTCAGGATTTGTTGGACTGCCAGGGATACAAATAACAGAGAACAAAACATAGCCTAGGGATTCCGATTCCAAACGATTCTTGATGTCAATTCTTTTCAGGTTGTCCATTTATAATTACAGCAGCCTGCAGGACAGACGAAAATAACATTTGACACAACCCGTGTCATTTGCCTGCTTTGCACAATGGTACTACACTGAGTGGCAAGGGAGGAAGTTTGTTCTCATCTCTCAGTTCCTTATTTCAAACAAATCTGTCTTTACAGAGCAGTCATTGAATCAGTCCTGTGTTCCTCCATCACAGTTTGGTTTGGGGCCGCCACAAAAAAAGGACAAAATCCGACGGCATCGGACAGTTAGTACTGCGGAAAAATCATTGCCACTGCCCTGCTCCCTCTTGAGGACTTGCACACCGCAAGAACCAAGACAAGGCCGCGGAAAATCCTACTGGCCCCCCCACACCCTGCCCACCACCTTTTCCAGCTACTCCCCTCAGGCAAGCGCTACCGATCCATACGCAGCAAAAACAGCAGACACTCAAACAACTTCTTCCCTCTCAACGCGGACTAAACCCACACAGGAAGGCCGGAGCCTGGAATCGAACCCAAGACCTCAGTACTGTCAGATGGACCTGCTAACCAGTGAACCACCATGCCTCACCTATACGGTGTATGTACACATCAATACTGTATGATAAACTATAATATATCTTTACCTACACCAATGAATTGGTTTAGTGTTGAATGAAACATGCTTCCTTTGATATTTCCATCGTTGGCCCTTCAATGTTTGGAAGACAATCGAATGGTTGTCCAGTTGATTCTGGACGCCAGTTGCCCAAGTAAATCTGACCAACATGATATCCCTGTGAATCACCGGCCTAACTGGATGGTAAGTTTTTATCAGCACCCACCGAAATGAATTTTCACCCACATTTGGTGACTTGGCAGTGGAAATTTAAAACTTTGGCTGGGGGGTGGTTAATTTTAGCATTAAATCCTGCCCAAAAATTGAACAATCACTAAAATAAATGGATTTAAATTGAACACTCAAGAAATGACAAAAAAAAAAGAATAAATAAAGATTGACAGTTAAGTTTGAGTCTGACTCCGTTTACGATCCAGCCAGTGCATGCACATTTTTATGTCACTGTAGAGGACTTCAAAGACTTCCGCAGCGCAAATCAGTGCTTCCTTGATTTCGTCTCTTGAACCTCTTCAATCCACGACCTTGCGCCTCGATGCACATTTAAGAAAACCAAGATGATTATTTATATATCGGAACAATTTTAAAGTTGTGGTCAAAGGATCGCCGAGAAAAGAACAAGGAACGTTGCAAAAAGAAAAAAGATGGAATCTATTTTATTTTGGGTAGTAGTTAATACTTGGATTTTTTAAATATACTGATTTATGGGTACAACACAATGAATGTCGATCATGAATAGAATGTACTTTTGTCAATAGGCATTTGGTCACATCGACGAAATTAAGATGTTTTTGCATTTGACGCAATACAAACACCATCAATGCTATAGGGATGTGTGGTCAGAGCCTCAGCTGCATGTTAAGGTTTAAAAAATAACAAAACGGGCTTGCACAGGAAGGTAATAAATTTTGTTCTGAGGCAGAGGCATGATGGGCTTCATCTTAAAAGAAAAGGCAAGACAATAACATGTTTTACCGTAATTTGATTTAACATGAGATCAGACGATGAAACATTCATTCAAAATTCAAATGAAAAACTAGAATTTGAACGAAATGATTAATTCTTAAATCTGATATATTTTTTAACTGCATTTGAATTTTTTTTTTTTTTGCACAACAGTCACTTCTTGGGTAATCTTTTAAACAAGAGCTTGTATTGCCTAATGTTTTCTTTCTCTTTCTTTCTTTCTCAACTGCATTGCAATAGTTTCATCATAAACGCGTCATGTCCTGTCAGTTGATTTCATTTAATTATATTAACCACAAATTAATCATAAACAGATTACTTAAATGAACCCCACAAAATCTAATTATGTTTCAGTTTAAGTGATTATTCTCAAGCAGGCACTGTTGCAAGATTGAAAAAAAAACTCATCAGACAGACGTTTTGTGTGCACATGAATCCTCGAGAAATTAACCATTTTTGTGAACGAATTGGGTGGAAAGCTTAAAATTTCACCTGCCCATCAACACCGCCTGCTACTGATATTGCATTACAGATATTTACAAGTCACAATTTAGTACAAACACGTATCAAGCTGAGGCGTAGGAGGTTTCAGGTTTGAAGCCAGCCAACGTAGAAAAGCCCCACCTTGGAACCTTTCACTGTTTTACAAAAGACAGCCGTTTAGACGAAAATATGTTTAAAAAGGAACATGTTTCGTCGAGGTAAAACGAAACAAAGATAATGTTAAAAAATAATTAATCACAAAACGTAAAAGTTACTGTATCGGCAGGCTGAATAATGTAACGGTTTACCCGTCGAAGGTTTAATTTAAGTTGTACCCCCCCATGTCCATTTGTGAATGGTACCGTCCATTAGTCATCGTCACATGATAAAGCTGATTTTTTTTAGCCGGAAAGAGGTACAGTAATTTAGTCATTCTTACTTATTTGTCTTCTGACAGTATTTGATAGACATCAAAATGATATGCGGAGGACTTACAGATGGTACAAATGCCGACGAAGAGATTCAGAAAATCTGCAACGATGTGAGTATGGAAATTTGACACTTAACTTTTATTGTTGCCTGCTTTGCAAGTAAACGTTGCACACAAAAAACACGAAAACTAAACCAAATCATTTACAGGTAAAGTCTCAAGCTGAGCAAAAAACCCAGAAAAAATACGACGTCTTCGTCGCCAAGGGTTACAAATCACAGGTTGTGGCTGGGACCAACTACTTCATCAAGGTAAGCTCAACATCACACATTTTATTCCAATTTTATTTGTATTATTTGGGTCTGAGCAGCGATCTGCCAGGTACCTATTGTTTTCTGTTGAGCTGTTATTATTATTATTGTTATTATTATTATTATTACAAACCCAATTCCAGTGAAGTTGGGAAGGTTGTGCTAAACATGAATACAAGCAGAATACAATCATTCATCCATTTCCGAACCGCTTTATCCTAACTAGGGTGGGGCAGGTGGAGCCTATCCCAGCCGTCTTTGGGCAGCAGGCGGGCCACACCCTGAACTGGTTTCCAGCCTATCGCAGGGCACACACAGACGAACAACCATCCACGCTCACACTCACACCTAGGGACAATTTAGAGTGTTCAATCAGCCTGCCATGCATGTTTTTGGAATGTGGGAGGAAACCGGAGTACCCAGAGAAAACCCACACAGGCCCGGAGAGAACATGCAAACCCCACACAGGAAGGCCGGAGCTGGAATTGAACCCGGTACCTCTGCACTGTGAGGTCGATGCGCTGAAGTCATATTTTAACAAAGTCCTTCTTGAGGTTTTATCCAATTGTTTTCAAACTTTGGGTAACCCAGCCGCTGGGGAGCAGTGCCCTCCCTTGGGGGTGCACTGTTCCCCAGTGCCGGTCCCAAGCCCGGAGAAATGGGGAGGGTTGCGTCAGGAATGGCATCCGGTGTAAAACTTTTGCCAAGACGACCATGCGAGTTGGTAGGACGGTTTACAGGGACGGATGGAAATTACTGACTCGCTGTGTCGACCCCTGAATAGGGACGTGCCGAAAGGAGAAGAAGAAGTTTTCAAACTTTGGGTGTTTCATCTAAACATCCCACCCTCGAATACATGAAAATGTTTCATGTGATACAGCGCATTGCCAAGGCAACAGTGTCCGACGAAATAAAAGATTGATATTTTCATCTTAAACATCTTTGGATGAAACAGGCAAACTTTGACGACGATCGGATAAATTATCTCGGAGGACCTTGTTCAGATATGACCTCTATGAAAGACCCCATTAATTACGGATTTCATTTCAAACAGGACATCTTCATTACGATGAACCACATAATGTATTTTCAAGTACATATTTACGATTTCTACATGTGTCAACTGTTGCTGTTCTTATACTTTGGTCGTAGGTGCACGTGGGAGGAGATGACCACATCCACATGCGCGTCTTCCAAAGTCTGCCACACGCCGGGTCAGTGCTGAAGCTGGCTGACGTTCAAGAGGACAAGACACATGCCGATGCCATTGAGTTCTTCTGAATGACAAACGCTGACAGAGGCATCCCCATTTGTCTGTACAGTAACTAGTACATTGCAATTAAATACAAAATAATCCACTATGTACTCGAGTTAATGACCTTTTCAATAAGAGTTCATTTATTAAAAAAAAAAATAAAGATTCTAGCATGTGATTTCACGCGTCCGATATACCATACATGGGCAATGCATGGGACACAGAGTGGCCCCTGAATTTTTGAATATACTTCCCCTGGCCATTTCAGTTTCAAGTTGTAATAACACTGTCCACTACTTGATAGCAAACATTATTTTACAGCACTTGATAGCAAACATTATTTTAAAGCACTCATGTCGTGTAATTGCCATGAAAGAGAACTCTCATCAAGAAAAAGACTTTGGTTTAACACGGTGAAATTCCATGTCGCGATTGTCTGATCCTCAGCAGGAATGTCAAGCAAAGCTAACTGGTGAGTGGGATCATGATCGTGTCTTGTCTAAATTTCACATTTAATGAGAGTCTCGGCCTGAATATATCAACAAAATTAATTGTTGTGGTAGCGCCACCTACGGCCAAAGGAAACATATCTTCAATTCTTTAATACTTGATATTCCAGCGGAACAACCGGATTTATCTCATATTTACTCAGAATAGTGTTCGGGCCTTCATTATGTTGCAACACTAAATTTGTGAGTTTACGGGAAAAGCTGCTGCAGAGGCAATGGGCTGTTCACCAAGAAAACAATTCTAGTTACATTCACCAAAAATACATGAAACCTGTTTGACTGTGTCAATCTGATGATTCACCGTGACAAGATACGTTGCTGTTGAGGGATTCATTCAAAATTCTAAAAACTGGAGTCAGGCCAGTCACTACCAAACTTACATTGGGGGTGCTATATTAGTCAGTATGTCTCAACCATAGGATAACTGAGTGATAATAATCCTGCATTTGAATGAGTTTGAATTTATATTTGTCAAGCGTGTCTTCTGATGGTGTAGCGGTACACTTGCCTGACTTGTGTGCAAGCACAGGTGGGATCGGTTCCCACTCTGTGACGGCGTAAATGTGGGTGTCAATGCTTGTTTGTCTGTACCTCTGTCTCCCATTGATTTGCTTTCGCGGGCCACATAAAATGATGTGGCGGGCCAGATCTGGCCCCCGGGCCTTGAGTTTGACACTAGTCGTCTACATGAACACCCATGAAACACACCAGGCTCACCAGAGCCCGCTATTTTATTTTGTTTTTATTTATTTAAAACGAAGCAGCTTATGAAATTTTGGTGGTCTTGAAATGTAAAATCGAACAAGAAGGCAACCATTTTGAATTAACTTTTGAAGTTGGTGTCTCCTTGACGACCAAAACTGCTGTAACTTGATCCACACGATCATATCGTCGAAAGATTTCTGACATTTGATTTTATTAAGTCCAGGGATGAAGAAATCCCTGAACCTATTTTTCATCATAGTGGTAGCGCCACCTACTGGCTAAAGCATATATGTTTTCTACTGTGACATTTTTCCTCCAAGCGGGTTGACCAGATTTAAATCCTATTTACTCAGGAGTGTTTCATAGATGGCAATTTTCCGCGTATCCGCGGAAATCCGCCGTTTTATTTCTTAAATTGATCATTTTTGTAAATCATCTAAATCCGATGAGAAAATTTTAGGGGTGGTCAGGTACCTTATCGTCGAGTCTTCACGAGCTCTCCCGAACAGTCTCTCCGTTTTCCGTTTGTAAACAGCCCTGCGGTTGGACGTATATGAAAGCTTCAACTAATCAGATCACTGAAGGCATTATTTGTTGCGGAAGTCTTAGCTCGATTATATACGCCCCAGCGATTGGTTAACTACAAGCGATTGGACCAATCAAATTGCATGTAACATATTGTTTTACCTGATTCATGGCGGCCTGTTCGTCTCGCAAATTCATTGTTCTGGGATCGTTTTGAGCGGAATTATGAATTTTTTGACGAAAGATCAGGAGTCTTCAATCCTAGAAATTGACTCAAATGTCAAGAATAAATTCCGATGGGACTGGCTTGACAGAAAAGTCACTGTAAAGGTTAAAATTGGTTCCAAGTTCGACGTTACAGAAGCTCTTGGACAATTTTTGAAGAAACCAGACGTAGCAGGCAAAGCTTATTGTGTGTATTGTAGTGACTTAATTAACTATGGCTCCCGTGGATGCGTGGCACTGACAGATCATGCAACAAAAGTGAAAAAAACATGCCGACAAAATCGCCATTCGACGGAGCAATTATTCTTTGGGATCGGCATTTTTCAAACAAACCTAGTCAGCGGATACAACTAAAGACGTGACTGTATGAGGTAAGAATCAACAGCTTTTTATCACATTTACACAACACTTTATGAATACAAGTCATGAACAAATCTTAAATATGGCAGGGAATGTGTTTACTTTTTTAGTTTTGATTTTGAGCAGCAAATTTGGAGTTACATATTGGTGCTCACCAGGAATGCATAGGCAAAATTGCACAAATTTTCACTT